GCAAAAGGGAAAATACTAGTTGTTATATATACAGAGAGGATACTAGGTCGCAAGTGACCATAAAACATGCTTACTCAAATGAGAAGTATTTATACGACTTCTGTAAGATGCTCCAAGTTGGGCTGATTCAGACTAGAGGACAGGAGTTCAACACCAGGAGAGGAGGAGGAGGAGGAGGCGACTGGATTTATACCCCACCCTTCACTTGGAGTCTCAGAGCGGCTTACAACCTCCTTCCCCTTCCCTTCCCCACAACAGACACCCCGTGAGGCAGGTTGGGCTGAGTGAGCTCTTTTGAGAACTGCTCTTTCAAGGACAGCTCTGACAGAACTATAGCTTGCTCAAGGTCATCCAGCAGCTGCAACTGGAGGAGTGGGAAATCAAACCTGGTTCTCCCAGATTAGAGTCCACACACTTAACCGCTACACCAAACTGGCCTGTACATGTGCCTTTGGCATTTGAACTTAGTGTGTGATGGAGATTCTGTCTGTGATGCCTTATATGAATGAAGTGGGCCCAAATGTATGTACACTGATTTTTATGAGACTGGTATTCCAGAAGTTCGGTCATGCATGTTGTGTTCTGCAACCTATCCTTTCTCTTCAGCTCTTGGGTTCCAGAAATACAATACCTGGCAACATAACATAATATTAGCTGTTGTAGATTTTCCGGGTTGTATGGCCATGGTCTTGGCATTGTAGGACCTGACGTTTCGCCAGCAGCTGTGACTGGCATCCTCAGAGGCATAACACAGAAAGATGGAGTACTCTCTGTGTCAAGGTGAGAAGAAAAATGGTAGGCTGGTAATTTATATCTACTCAGGAAGGTGGAGTAGGGGATATATAAATTACCTTCCTACCATTTTTCTTCTCACCTTGACACAGAGAGTACTCCATCTTTCTGTGTTATACCTCTGAGGATGCCAGTCACAGCTACTGGCAAAACGTCAGGTCCTCCGATGCCAAGACCACAGCCATACAACCCGGAAAATCTACAACAGCTAATGAACTCTGGCCATGAAAGCCTTCGACAACCTAACATAATATTAATTACAGTAACAGATACCAAATACCTGAACAGACCAAGTAAGATATCCCTCTACCCATCCCCATCCTCTAAAAGTTTGTGTCCAGACCATTTACAATAAGTTATTCTTGATTGATCCTCCATTATATCTTTTCTCCCATGTAAACTGAAAATCATTACTATGGACAACCCAGCCATCCCAGATGAAGTGGAGATCATTATCATCTTTACTATACATAGGGAAGGTCTTCCACACTTAGCTCATGAGCTACAGATACCTTGCTGGCTGTAATAGGGGAGCTCACGCTTCACTTAGAGGATCCACAGAAAGATATTCTCTAAGCTGTCTGTTTAAATAAGCTCTTATTTCATAGACTTTTCCCTTGTGCTGCTTTGCTGATAGCTTCTTTTATTTATTTATTTATTTTATTTATACCCCACCCTTCCCACATGCGGGCTCAGGGCGGCTTACAGCAATATGGCACACAGTGCAATAAAAAACAATAAAACAATATAAAACAGTTAATACATGGGCCACGCCCAAGGATCCCGTGTGACTAAAACCCTCTCTCCATATTGCACATACCCTTTCATTCCAAGGGAGGTTGCTGTGGCCTCCTGATGTTATCTGCCACTTAACCTCCGGCGGTGCTGTAAAACGGTCCCCATTGGTGGTAGTGGTTGCGGCGGCGGCTCCTATTCGAAAGCCTGGCGGAAGAGCTCCGTCTTGCAGGCCCTGCGGAACTGCAACAGGTCCCGCAGGGCCCTGATCTCCTCCGGGAGCTCATTCCACCAGATAGGAGCCGCCACCGAGAAGGACTTGGCCCTAGTGGCCGCAAGCCTGGCCTCTTTCGGGCCCGGGATCGCAAGGCGATGTAGCGACCCTGACCAAAGTGCTCTTTGGGATCTATGTGGGGCAAGGCGGTCCCTCAGGTTTTCTGGCAATCTTAGTCCATGTTCTATTTCTAGGACAGGACCAATGTTCCCTCTAAGCTGAGTTAGTGTGAGCTAGCTCACACTAACTCAGCTTAGAGGGAACACTGGACAGGACAGAAAATGGTAACATGTCAGGATGAATAGTATTGCCTTACAAAACATAGAACCATACAGGTAGTGACTTTGTGTGGGGGCAAGATATGTATTTGAGTTGCACAGATAATACGGTAATGGGGTGCTGAATTTTAGTTGATTAGCTGACTAATTCCTGGGATGGGGGGATGTAAAGAAAGGTGACAGGTAACAGTTCTTCAGGAGAAGGGTTCAAGTCCCAGAACAATGGATTCATGAAGACGAGGTCTGCATCTCTGTAGTTTCATGGTAGTCATTCATAGGGATAGATTGTGTGGCAGGGTATTTGCATGCAGAAGGAAACCGATTCATCATCTCTAGTAAAAAGATTGCAGGTAGTTGGTGTTAGGAACTACTTTGTTCTGCTTGAGATCCTGAAGAGCTATTAGCAATCGAAATTGACAATACTGACCTAGATGGCCCAAAGGCCTCTGCTGCTGCATCGGCTGCCCTTGTTTGTCATCAGCATAGTATGGGTGGCGGCGGCAAGGTCGATCTTAGCAGGATCATCTGGCCCTTCCCATTGACTTCAATAGCAGTGATTTCATTTACACACCTTTTGCACAGGTTTAGCTATACCACAGGGTTCAGGAAAGAGCCCTCAACGAGACTGTAGTTCTGAGATTGATGAAGCAGCGTGGAATCGAATTTGGAGAAATAAAATTACCAATCCTAACTCCTTATCAATGGACTTCCACAAACTAAAAATACTAACTAGATGGTATCTGACACCACAAAAACTGTCCCACATGACATCTAGATATCCAGCTCATTGTTGGAAAGGGTGTAAAAAAGAAGGAACTTTTGCCCATTGTTTCTGGGAATGCGAAAAAATTCAAATATTTTGGAAGGTTGTTCTAAAAAACATTCTAGACATTCTGGGTATCGAAATCACCTTGAACCCGGAGTCCCTTTTTTTCAGGGTTGTGGCCTCAAAACTTAACCCATTATTATCACAAAGATATTTTAGAAACAATGCTTTATGCGGCTAGAATATCAATAGCTTCGTTTTGGAAAGATCCCTCTCCTCCAAACATCCAAACCTGGCACAAAAAACTGTGTGATCAGTTCATTATGGAGAATATTACTGACAAAATTAACAGGAACAGTAGAAATCCGGTAAACTCAAATTTTAATGCCAAATGGTTTCCCATACTTGAATCTTTAGCAAAGAAACAATTCATCTCACCAACATGGAAGAATTATATCAAATGGTTTTAATCATTCTTAGAACATTCAACTGTATTAGTAATTCTCTACTAGAAATAAGTAACATTGTCAACTATTTTTAACCTTTAGGCAACTTACCTTGGACTTAGTTCTAAGCTTGTCTTGTCATAGAATAACACTACGCTTTATACACACAAAGAGTAATCTATTTCTCGTATGGTTCGGTTCAACTTACCACATCATCAGATAAGAAACAACCACAAGTTTATGTCATTGTAACAAAGTACAACTCATGTTAATTAACGTTCAAAGTTAGTACTGAAGTATCGCATGAAGATATGTTCGAATATTCATAGTTCTTACCTTTTTCACATCATATATTGTATAGTAAATTTACAAGTTTTTCATGTTTTGGACTTTACATTATACCTAATGTCATGATTGCTTGTTTTTTGAATTTCTGTATTATCGACTTTTCAACAATAATAAAATGTTAATGATTAAAAAAAAGGAAAGAGCCCTGGGGGAACACAGGATCCTGGAAAGGCACTGTTTCCCTTCAACCGTATTTCTATCCCATCAGTTTCCTGCTTTCACTGGTGCTCTTAGACCAAGGTTGCTTCCAGAAATTTTTGCTCCAGTTTGGCATCTAAATCCAAAGTGAAACAGGAGTTTGTTTTTTTGGGGGGGGGGGATTCACAAAATGTTGCCCTCTAATAGCCTACTTTTTGAGTTTCAACCTACTTTCATGCAATTGTTCCAAAACCTAGTTTAATATGATTTTTTAATTAAAAGATCACGATCAAAGCACCTTTGTGCAGTATACAGATGGGAACACATACATTTTTTACAGGTCACACCCATGTTGGATCCATTTGTCTGGCCTCAGTTCCCACGGCTGTTATCTTTCCACGCACAAGCAATGAAAAAGGATAGGAACTTTCTTTTTAAAATGAAAGCCGGGAATTCAGGGTAGCTAATGAATCATGGGAACTGATTATTATAACACTATTGTGCTATGGTGATCACGCAAGTTCCAGTTTGTTATAAAAGCCCCGTGGTGGTGGGAGAAAAGGTGTGGCTGCATCAGGCTGAGGCAAGGAAAGTATGGGGAAGGCTGTCAGTTGGCCCCTCCATTGCAGATGCTATGAAAGCTACACAGAGAATTTAGTCTCCTGTCACTAACTGGGATGGGGACATTTTCACTGGCACCCCTCTTAAGAGGGAATGAGGGACACATTGGTAATTCACCATCAAATGTCATGAAGGTGTGTCATTGTGTCTTCCTTCTGGGGTATGTGGGCAATCAGTGCTGTATGGAAGCAGCCCAGCAGGTAAGATCCTCTACAGTGCTGATGCAATAGTGTTGCTTGACAGATCTTTACATTCTGATAACATCTTTGGGCTTGGCAGGAATAGAGGACCTCATTGTGAGGGTTTCTATCTTTTCCCACTATGTGTCAATTATGATTAGCACAACAGTTGGGTGTTTCTTCTTAATCTACCAGGAAAAAATACTAGAACTCTGTTCCATCAACGTTCCCCACATACTTTATTTCTTGGAACAGGTGTTTCATCTTAGCTTTCTTCTGACTTGTTGACTGTATTTATGTAAGTTAAGAAAAGGAGACCGATTTGACGCTGATATACTTTATGATTGTTGAGACAGGATAGCTACTTCAGTCTCCAAAGAAATGCCCATTCTGAATTTATGTATTTCATGTGTGTGCAATATCATGTTATTACAAGTTTCAGTCTTGTGTTTTTACAGAGTTATTAATTATTTTTACAGGGAGGGGAGAATTATTATATACACAAAGTGTCCTGAAGACAGAAACAAATTCCAGAATGTCCAGTCACACTGTGAACACATCGAGGACAATTGAGCCACAAGTACAGAATAAGACTGACAGAGATGAATATATTGCCACAATCTTGACCTATGTTTCCGTTCCAGTTGTGATTTTGGGACTACTTGGCAACGGGGCTGTTTTCCACATACTCTGCTGCAATATAAAAAGGACAAATTATACTGTGTATGTACTGAACCTGGCCATAGCTGATTTTACTGTACTTTTCTGTAACATTACTTTTTCTGCTTTAAGTTTAATGATATGGGGAATGTTTGCTTTCGATGAGTTCCTCTATGATGTACTTGATATCCTGTGGTTTTTTGGGTACAACAGCAGTTTTTTTCTCTTGACAGCCATTAGTGTTGAGAGGTATCTTGGTGTTTTCTACCCCTTTTGGTATCATTCTAATCGTCCAAAACATCTCTCAGCCATACTCTGTACTCTTCTATGGGTTACCTCCTGCTTGGTGAGTGTAGTAGAATATTTCACCTGCTGGTCAAGATTTTACTTCTACAAAGAACAATGTTACCCAAATTATAGTGCTGCCAGTATATTCCTTGTCACCATTTCCCTGATTTTTACACCAGTCATGGTCCTTTGCAGTTTGATGGTGTTTGTCAAAGTACAAAGAAATTCACAGCCATCATCCTCAGCACGCTCGTACCGCACTATTCTAGTCACCGTTGTGATATTCCTCATCTTTGCTTTGCCAGAGAGGATTGTGTGCCTGGTAGGGTACTGGCATCCAGAAGCAAAATTAATATGGGATGTCATTGAGGTTTCTTTTTTCCTCAACATAGTCAACAGCATGCTCAATCCTTTTGTTTACTTTTTTGTTGGAAGGCAGAAAAAAACGAGACGCCAAGAACCCCTCTCTGTGGTGTTTCAGCGATCCTGGAATTACGTAGCACAAGATCACACCAACAACACAGGGGAGGCCTGAAAATATTTGGATCTCAACGCTGTTGGAAGTCCTAGTGTTTCATCTGAGGAAAAGACAGTTTATGTTGTTCAGCTACTAGCTTCAGAATGCCATTCCTAAACTTGCTTGGGGAAGAGTTGCTAGTGTTCTTGCAGACGCCTTGTAAGAGGCATGCATATCCTTTGCCCAGCTGGAGCCTGATTTTATATCCTAATGTTTTTTTCATTTTGTTTTTTAAAAGGGGAGAGGGCCAAACAATTACATTCTATATCTACAAGCCCTAGAAGTCTTCCACATGCTCTTACCACCACCAACCTCACATGCACAACAATACCCTAGAGCAGTGGTGGCGAACCTATGGCACGGATGCCAGAGGTGGCACTCAGAGCCCTCTCTGTGGGCATGCGTGCCATCGCCCCAGCCAGGCCCAGACCATCATTAAAGTGTTGAATTCTCTACCAAATAATTTTAAGTAAATGAAAGCATTTGGGATTGCTTTCCTTATTTTGTTTGGATCATCTTAAGTTAATGTATGAGTTGTTTTTTCTAAAGTAAAACCTCAGTATTCAGGTTAAATTGCCGTGTTGGCACTTTGCGATAAATGTGGGTTTTGGGTCGCAGTTTGGGCACGTGGTCTCTAAAAGGTTCGCCATCACTGCCCTAGAGGCTAGCAAGTCTTGATCTTTTAGAAATCAGCAAGCAATCAACACACATCCTTTTGGAACTGAAAAACCACCAAGGAATTCTGTGGTGTATTTCTCTTGGGCACAGTAAAATATGCTTTGCCCAATAAAAAACAAGTATTAAAGACTGGCAGCTAGCCAAGTGGGTCAAGATACGGAAACAAGGTGCAGAAACTAGATGTATACGAAAGTAGCTTTAAAACAAGCAACTCAGAATGGCTGGTTATTGTAGACCACGTTGTCGTTCCCCCACCCACCCCACTCAGCACAGAGTGGTTTGACAGAATGGAACCCTCCCTGGAGAACTTTCCAACAATCATCCTGTTACCATAACATGGTGTAGTGGGGAGGAATGGAAAGTCTCTGCTATGAGTGAGAAACAAAGGACATTTCACATCCAAATATTAGCACGTGAGCGGTCTGAAAGTGGGGTTTCTTTGCTCTCAGAAATATGGAGCTGGTCTTATTAGCTGATTAAAATTCATTTACTAAAGCTTGGCGTTCACTACACTGCTATATCGATTCTCCTGACAAGGCCCTGGACTGGATAGCTCCATGGACCTCAAGCAGCCTTGTTGGGCTACCTGGTTCCTAGTTTGTACTGGTAGTTCCTCCTGGCATGACCGCTGAGTGCTTGAGAATCCCTGCATTAGATAGGCAAGCATTGTTATTGGTTTTTATCAACCCTGTAGGCTAGATGATTTTCGGGGGGGCACTGAGGGGCCATGACATCACTTCTGATGTCACAAAAAACAATAAAATAAAATAAAAAATAGAAGCCCCAGAAGAAGAGCTGGCTCCCTAGTGTGGATCAAAAGCTCTCTTAGCCCTCCTGCCCTGCTCTCCACACTATCCCCCCTCAAGCTGTGCAACTCAGCTGTGAATCGATCTGAAGGGTCTCCCTTCCTCCCTTGCCTACCCAGCCTCATGCACCCCTCCGCCCTCAGCCCATGCCATGGGATGCGCTGGGTCCTAGTGCTCCTTCAGCACCCCAGGAGAGAAGCCACCACAGTAGGGTCCAGACATCGCTCCAGCAGGGTGGGGGACTCAGTAGCAGCTAGCCCCACACATGTTCTCTTCTCAGCCACCCACTCGAGGATCCATGAGCTGCAGTTGCAGCTGCCACTTCAGGTGCCAGCATCAGTGTCCTCTCCAAGCTCAGACAACAGGCAGGAGGGGCTCCGGCTGGAAGTCAGGAAGCAGCAGGAAAAGCCAGTGAGGCAGCGGTGACTGCCCACAGGGGGGAAAAGTGTGGCACAGTGGGTTGGGTGGCTCTGGCATTCTCCTGGGGTGCAGGTTCAGGAGGGGGCACCGCCCCTGCCTAGCTATGGCCCTGGTCTTAATCCTCCTTTGGCTTCTCACCTTTCACTTTCTGCCCTAGCCAAATCAGACAAATCTGTTTTTCTATGTACAAAATTAAACAATTCCCTTGATTTAGTATTTATTTGTTTTAAGAACCTATATCCAGCCTTCAATTAAACAGTTCTTGGGGTAGCTTAGAATTAAAATAAAATCCAAACTACAATAAAACAGAAGAAGCATTGTCAGCAAAATAATAAAACTACAAAAGTAGGAAACCTTTTAAAAATATGAAAGCCAGTAAAGCAAGACACAGCAGGGATTATATTAATAGCTCTAGATATACACACAAAAGCAAAGAGATATTGTATGGAGCAGTATTAAAAACAAAATCAGTAAGTCAGTCACCATTTCCCAAAATATATTCAAAGAAAGGGAGAGGGAATAATCAAGGACTCTCACCATAATAAAAATGGGCAAGGCTCAGAACCAGATGAATAACTGAGAGGAGGTCTTCTACATTTAGGGTGCCACAACTGAGAAGGCTCTGCTTCTAATATTGACCTGTTTAGCCACAGAAAAGGACGGAGGGGAAAGCAATACCTTGGAAGATAATCTTAATTGATAGATGGGCACATACAGGAGCAGGTTTTCCTTCAGGTATCCTGAAAGCCTTCCCCCCTATTATGTTACTAGTATCCTTGCTGTTGCTTATAACTTTAAAAATACATATCTCTGAACATGGATGTGCGCTTCATGTATCTGATGAAGTAAACTCTGACTTGCAAAACCTTCTGCTAGAATAAATGTTGTTAAATGTTTAAGTGACACTTGTCTTCGGTTTAATTTGTGATCTGTTTTTATGCTGTATGCTTTTATGCTGCCTTTTAGTTAATATCTTTTAATGTTTTGTTTTTATTACTTTTATTTTATAAACTGCTTTAGGCAGATGGCTGAAGAGATGGTATTGTAATTTATAAACAAACAAATAATTTCTGAGTAAGAGTGCACAGACTGTGAAGCTGTAATCCTGAAGTGAGATTTATTTCAAAATAAGTATACATTGAGAATCATTATTTTTATTTAGTTGATTTTGAACTCACAAATGATAAACAGCCTCCACAGATCATTCTGGATCTCTTTGAATTGTTCACTGTTAGATAATCTAGTCACTGAGCATTCCAATTACATTATCAACAAGCCTGATCCACCAGTTCTCCTGAACTAGATGTAAGTATGCTAAACCCCTGTCTCTCAGGAGGAATCATTTCAACCAGTAATGGACCCCATAGGGCCCATATACCAGGCATCTTGACATAAGTATGCACAAAGATGGACACCAGAACTGGCAGGCCTCATAATCATGCCTAGGCAGTGTCCCTGGGAAGGATATGAGACCTTGTTCTGACAGCTGCAACTCCCTCTCACCATGCCAATATCTGCATATATCAAACAATGGACTTGCCTTTCCCCAAAGCTAACACTGTTCAGCCTCAATCCCTAATTCTATCAATCTCGCCTCAGCCTTCCTCCCCACATTTCCCTGATAATGAAAACTCCTGACTTCTACCTACTCCTTTCTCACACATCCCAAACCTAGGTGGCTCATCAAGCAGTATTGTTCTGTTCTGATTAGTTTAAATTAGCACTCCATTAGCCCTTGGAACCATAGGAGGATGCATTCAGAAACCCAACCAGAATTTTACTTTGCATCTAGAAGAAATCTCCGGTCTCTTTTGTCTGTTCCTGGGAATGCTATTCAGACATTCACAGACACATTTCGCTAATATTATCAGAAGCACAATAACACTTTCGTTGACACCAGACCTCAACTCTCATGCAAATTGTCGAATGCTATTCAGCCATTCACAGACACATTTCGCTAATCTTATCAGAAGCACAATAACACCAGACCTCAACTCTCATGCAAATTGTCATAAGTTTTCCAGGCCTTTGTTTGTCCTGGGAAAGCCATTTTTTGTATTATTTTGAGACATAAATACTGCCTCAGGACACTTTTTCCCTATAAAATTAGCACTTAGAGTTCAGTCTCTGTGTGTCCTGGTCGCCTACTGACAGGTCACCCCCCCAAAAATCTTTGTTTGGGTCACTTTCCATCTTCACAGTCTCTGTTCCATGGACTCCTGATCTCCTGGATAAGTAAAATATATTTCCCCAACACCCTCCTATTATTCCAATTTATCTCTGTATTTCCATTACTTGTGTGTATGATTTAACGTGTGCTTTATTTCTGTACATGTGCATTTGATTAGAATTTCTTCTTTTAATAAAAACAACCCTTTTGGTTAAGCAACAGACTGGTTATTGAGAGCTCTCATAAAGGGAAAGATCCCCATAAACATAAGTAGGAGATCCTCGCTAATATCCCACCTCTTGCTGAGGTCTGCCATTTAGCTAAATTCCTCTAGAAACTGAAGGCAGTGATTCAGCTTCTTATTGATTTATTTATTCTTTATTTATTTATTGGATTTATATCCTGCCCTCCCCAAAGGCTCAGGGCGGCTAACAATGTGGCACGAGTGCCAAAGTTAAGACAGATAAAACAGAATAAAACACTATAATACAAATACCAAAGTGTCAATGCTCGATTTGTCACAAATCTACGCTGGGAGGAGTAACACAGAGGGAAGCTAATTCTCCTGAATGAGAGGGAAGCTAGGAAGATTAGCCTGCTGACAGGTCAGATGTAAAATTCATAGCTGAGCAGGTTTAAACAACACACCAACAAGCAGGTCAAAGACTACTCTAAATGGTGGAAGGTACCCTGGACAAAGTAAAAAGGTATGTATAGAATAGGGTCTGGAATTAGGAAGGAAAATGGGAAGCGAAATTAGCTGATTACAAGCAGGAGAAACACATAAAGAACAATTTCCAGTATGCGGGTGGGGGAGAGCACTCAAAGGCTCAAAAAGGGGGAACAGCCTAGGACTGTGGAGCTGCAGGGGAACAGTAGGCATCTGATTGATGTACGTATCATGTGAATGTCTGTAGAGGAATACCTGGTAATCTGACAGAAAT